ATCACCAGTTCTGGTGCCTGCAATTCAAGAAGGATGTTGATAAATCGGGGACGATTCAGAGAAGAGCCATGAGCATGATTGACGAATGGGTGTGATAGACTCAAGGAGCTCAATCTACCTAGTTTAACAAAGAGAAGGTTCAGGAATGATTTGAAGGAGATTAGCTAGGGGTCCATTAATGCAGGGCTATAAAATGAGGCAGTAGAAGGCTGAGAAGGATGCCTGGGGATTACAAGGATGTCCTCTCACACTTCCCTTCCCCCTGAGGCCCGGGAGGAAACGGGGCCAGGAAGCTCTCTGGACCAGGTCAGGGAGCAGTGAGGAACTGGGGGGGATACTGGTCATCTGCTTCCACAGAAGGACTGTGGTGCTCACAACTCAGAAGACTCTGTAAGTTAGGGACTGATGTTTTGTTCCCCCACCCCCACAGTTGGGGCAATCCATCCTTTGTTTGGTGTCTTTTGGAATTGGTCTATCTAGTAGGTAGCCCCTGTCCTGTATTCAGCTTGGGTGGCAAGACGCACCCCTGCGTGAAAGTGGCAGGAAGGCTATTTTGCGTGACTCCCCTCCCACCCTTTTGTTTTCTTTCTTTACCCTAAAAAAAGAACAGGAGTACTTGTGGCACCTTAGAGACTAACACATTTATTTGAGCATAAGCTTTCGTGGGCTACAGCCCACTTCTTCGGATGCATCCGGTACGGCCCAAACAGTATTGTTTGGATTGTGAGCTTCCAAGTTATCCCCACTGTATATGCATGGGGGGAGGTGGGAGAGAGGGAGTCTCCTCTCCCATCCCTCGAGAAGCCGCCATAGTCTGGCTGCTCGTACTCTGGCGTGGCTGGGGACAACTGCAGTACTGGGGGTGGTTTTCTCTTCTCCACACTGGAGAAGAACTCTCTTCCCCCCCCCCCCCCCCCAGCGTGTTGGGAGGCGCAGAGATGACCCCTGTTATAGTGGGGTCATGTAACAGTGCCGTACTCTGCAAGTAGTTCCATTTTAAGGGATGCATATTTATTCCTGGTCTTCCCTTTATGATCTCTGCTATCCCAGATGCTGCACTCATCTCTCTCGTTCCCTACCTCTCCTTGAGGTTAATTGAGCCCCAGGGTTTAATATGCATGTATAACACAACAAACATGTGCACAGTCCATTCCAGTGGGAACGGGTGGATGTGTGTTTGTTTGTTTTTTTTAGGGACTATTTTATAGTTATTGTACACAACAAACATACGGCTTGTGATATTCCTGAAAACGACTGTAGTACTGCGAACACTTCTTGAATATATTAACCTGGCTTATCAGCCCAGTGCAGAGCTAGAATTGAGGCTTTTTCTGTGCTGTCTCTTTGCATTTGCCTGGTGTTTAAACGTAGGCTAGAAAAGCAGCGTTTCCAGATACTTTACCGCGCTCTGTATCAGCATGCAGGGTGTTTGTTCTGTTTTATATTATTCCCCTCCCGAAAACTCTGACAGCCAAAGGTTGCTAGATTGCCTATCCTACCAATACAAACCGTAAGCAATTATTCCACGCTCCATCAGTTATTCCAGACCCTACACTCTGCTCTTCAGTTTCCCTTCTTAACCTGAACTAACCCCCCTCCATATCTCTCTACCCTCCTCTTGAACAGCCAGTCAGGAGTTCATCTTAACTCTGACCACGTTTATTGGTTACATGCCCATGCATTTTCACAGAGAGCTACCCGGGTGGTGTTTGACAGGGCTGGGGGGAGAGGTTTTGGGGTTGGGGAGGGGAGGGGGACTGTATAAGTGGCCTGGGTTGTGGGGAAGCCCAGTGATTTTGCTGTGGCACACACTGGTGCCAGCTGGCAAAGGGTTCGCTACTCTGCATGGGCGACTCCTAACAGGTCTGACAAACTCACTGCACCTAATGCCGCTTTCATAGTATTTATCAATCAGTGGTGTCTTGCAAGGTATCAAATGAAAGCTTGTATCACGCTGGTTATTGATACCTTTTGCGAAACGTATGTACTGATGATATTTTTAAAAGTTATGTAGACCTACTGGAATTATGTTTTAAAGCCTGTCACCAGGTAGAGTTGACAAACCGGTTTCTTCCGGACAGGAGATAAGTCCTGTGTCTGTCGAATGTAAATTAAGCATTGTAAGCTGCATCTGCATATGGCATAAACAGGGGGATGGGAAGACACACGAGACTAAGCTACAAGGGGCTGTCGTCTCCCCGGCGTGCAAAGGCCATGAACTTTGGGGTAGAAGAGGAAGGCAAAACGACACCTCGTTTATCCTTCACTGAGGAAGCAAAACGGACAGTGCTCGTTGCGTTCGTGAAAGCTGGATCCTGGCCAAGAGGGCTAGTGATGCTGCAGGGATGCTTTAGGTGAGAAACTGCTTTAGACAAGGGCTTAACTTGAACAGGCTATGTTTATGCTATAAGAAGTGTGTTGTACTTTTGTTTTATTTATAGCCGGTGGTGGTGATCCTTGCTCGCTATCTCTTCAATCTTTACCTTTCTCAATGAACGCTGTATCTGTTTGCACTATAAGCAGCTTGCGGTGCTGTGGTGTTCTACTGGAGCTGATACTCCGTTGAATCAAACAAGCTGGGGTGTGTATTGTCTCTTTGGGGACAGCTTACCTGGTAATTACGGAGAGTGTCTGGTGATGGGCTGGACCCTACAGGGAGAGGTTTTTGAATTGTTTGGGGCCTGGGTTGCACCAGGTGTTAACCTGCAAGGCAAAGAAGGGGCTCGCAGAGCCTGAGGAGATTGGGTGGGTGGCTAACAGTCTGAGCCTGTCAGGGAGCTGACACACAGTTTAGTACCAGCAAGTCACTCTCTTGCTGGGGGTGGTAACATGATGACTCTCAGTCCTGGACACCCCAAGACAGTGTCACGTCTGCTCTGAGGTATTGGGTACTTGAAGGTTCCCCCGTATTGCTGGCTAATGCGCTGGGGGGCAGAGCATTCCTGCACCAAGCACTAGCCCTTGGATGGCTCCTGACTGAGCTGGTGGTCGGATGCAGCGGAGGACCAAGGCAGTGGCATTGGAGGAGCCCTACAAGGGTCAACGCCTTTGTGCAGCCGCATAAAGCTTCCCCACCCAACCCAGGCCTCTGCTCTCCCCTCCATCTTCTCCCGCGTTCTAACCTGGTCTGCCTCCCTCGGCCCCATGTGCATCCCCGCTAAACCATTTAATCCTTCCTTGGCCTTGCTATCTCCAGCTGCTCCCAGCGTGCCTTCAGAGTCCCCTGCCGTACCCCGGCTACTTAGCCTGGCTCAGTAGAACGCAGCAGGGGAGTCTGGGAGTCAGAAAAACAAAATCTCAGCCAAAAAAAGGGGCAAAAAATTGTAGACCATCTGTATGTTTTTGTCTGTAGCTGAAATATCAGGCTGGCAGTGTTGGAAACGAGAAATACCTGATAGATCTGGGCAGTACCGTTGGTTAATCTTGGTCAAGCTCAATTAGTATTTGGTAAAACTCAAGTCAGTATTTCATTTTAGAAGTTCAAAACTGTCTCCTGTCCTAGATGTCCTCAGAAGATCTTAGTGTGGCAGCCGGTGGCTATTTAAATGGAGGAACCCTAATAAATGTGAGGAAAAACTGGCAAAACTGCGAAGAGGCAACTTTTATAAGAGATTTCTGGGCTAAAACTTGTAAATTTGCATGCCAGGGAAAATCCAACCAGCAAATCGGGAGACTAAATTCAACCATGAATGTTCGAGACGGAGGGTTTTTAGTTCAAGTGCAAATCTAAATGGACCATTAAGGATAGTGTCACTACCATAATTAAATCTTTAATTGAGGTTATTGCCTATTCACTTTTTAAAAGACAGGTTGATCAAGATTTATCTTCTAGACAATAGCCTCTGCTTCGATTCTGAGCACCTCTGATTTAGTGATGACACAACGTGCTCAGGGTTGAACAAGGGAGCCCCAAAGAGCTGACCTAATGCACAGAAATGGAGATGATGTGATGTTCTGGGACCCTGAAGAGGAAAACAACTAAGGAGGTGTTGTGTTTTTTGTTTTTTTTTAAACAAAAAATTTGCATTTGTTCATTTACATGTGGTATGGTGCACAGGAAGTACCTGTACAGGAGGGACTTGAATGCAGGTCGCCGGGGTGTGTGGCTTTCACTTGAACCTGGCGTTGGTTTCAGAAGTGCGGCTGCCTTGAGGTAAACAGCCAGTGCAAAATCTGAACAGAGAAGACATGTATTCTCCTCCTGTCTCTCTACAGCAGATCCCTTGTAGTTCTGGTGGATCTGGTCCTAGAGTGAAATCTCTAACAAACTCCGACTTCTGTTGAGACACAAATTCTAAATACTCTAGTTGGGCGTATGTGGCCCCATTGTTTTAGTATCTGAGCACCTGCTAAAAGAATTAATCCTGAGCTAGAAACAAATCTAAATTTAAATATTTTTTGCAAAATTCTCTCTCAATGGTAAACATAACCTTTGACTCTATGAAATGAATTTTAGTCCTCATAGGGCATTTCCTAATGGACGTCACAAAACTCTCTCTTTACTGTACTCTGTCCATTAACCCTGTGTACTGTCAATAGCTTCTCTGCATTCAGGAGTTTCTGATTTGTTTGAGTTTGTGTAGACACAACTGTATGTATTGCTTTCTATGCATAAAAAGGCCAGACTCCTTGCAGCAATTTACTATACGACTGTAGGTTACAAAACATCAGTTAAAGAACACATTGTCTGACTACAGTGGCTGTGTCTTTAAGAGATCTCCGCTTGATCTACCTTTTGGCAGCAGTTTTTCCTCCTCTTCCTACATCTTCACATCCTTTTATTGTCATCTGTGTACTTCTGTCTGTAAGGTACAGTAGCTCCTCACTTCAGTTGGTGCCTGAATGCTACCAGGTTTCTTAAGGAGGAGCGCTAGCTTTCTCGATATGGTATCCAGCAAAAAGCATTAGCTTGGAAGTGCAGGGTCACTTTAATTGAATTGTTCTATTTTTCCAGAGGCAAATAGCTCTGAGAGACAGTAAACCTCGGTGGCTGCAGGAGAGAGATTCCAAGTTTAGGATAGCTGAACCTGCCGTGGAATGTAGATTGCTTTGAATTACTCAGCTTACTGGATCTCCAGTATCTTCATTCCCTAGTTGTTTTACTTCTGCAAACAGTAATCTCTCGGAAAGCAGAATTGGAGTATATACCTCTGGAATCTAATGGGTCATGCTCTCACTCCACCCATTTGCTACTCTCCAATTGGAAGTGAGGGTGAAAGATGCACTGGATTCATTAATATTGGAGCCACTGAGGAACCACAAGCCATTGCCTCTCGTGCCACCTGAACGTAAGTGGCATTAGGAACCAAGTGCTCAGGCTTATTGAAAGCTTTAGGGAAAGCAACAAACAAGATCTAAAGCTGTTTGCAATTTAGCAACATCTTTCGTTAAAGAAGTAGTGCAGGTAAGTTAGTCTAAAAAAATCATAGCTTGCATAGAGGCACTGCTGTTGCTGGGTGATGGATTTAACCAGGAAATGTAGAAATCAAGTAATCTGTCAGCTCTTTAATTATTTAATCGACCAAAGTAAGACAATACTTGTTGTGTTTCCATGGGTTTTGCTGCTTGGTAATGAAATCTATTGCTTGTTTCTCGTGTTCTAGATGCCTGTGTGTTTAGGGATGCAGAATACCTTTTTTGATTCTAATTAGACATCAGTTTACTATATGTATCCAGAAAACAGTTAAAGAAATTGCATGGGGAGATACTAGCAAGAAGAGATGTTTTGTCTAAAACATTGTAACAATCTGTCCTTTACATATTGTGAAGTGTAAAAAGAATGAATATATAATACTTTCATATATCTGTCTAAGATGCTGGTAGAATATCCCTGCTACGGTGGTCGTGTAACTGATCTTGATGTACTTAAATAAATAACATTCCAGAAATGAATATTGTTAGTCTAACGACATTCTTTTACCTGAATATCAGGCCTCCTTCTCTTTCCACTATGTTTTTGTTGTTTTTGCTGCTGCTTCATGGAGGTTTATGGTATGTCAGGATGTAGAAATTCTGTCTGTGTGGGGCTTGGTTTTGTTTGTTAGACTACCTAGTTGGTTACTTACTATTAATTTTCCCATTCCTCTGGTTTATGTAGTTTTTTTGAATGTGCTGAGGCTGTCTTGTTTGCTTCCATAGGCTGCTTTCACTTTTATGGGCAAGGAGAAATTTTGCCTTTCCACACGCTGTAGTATTTTTCTTTTTTTTTTTTTAGTTCTGAAGCAGGGCTGAAGGTACTTTGGTCAGCTAGTCGGGTAATTCTGTCGGCACTCGGCAATGCTGCTCTAGTTTTGATCCTTTCAGTGTTTCCGTTATAAAACTTGTTTTACGTGGGTCTACAGACTGGTCACTTTGAGTTCAGTGTGAATTATAGTTGGCCACAGGTTCAGACCAGATGGCTTTTTTTTTTTTTGGCTTGCAGAATGTAAGTTGCAATAAAATTTATCCAGCCACAGTTCTAGATGGAAACGCCTTTTGGTATTCGTCTCCCTTTTTTTTGTTTTGGCTCTTTGTTTTAATTAAAAAAGGTTTTTATTTTAAGAACGAATATTTCTCATTAACACATTATATGGATTCAAACACACACCAAAAATCTGGGTGACTGTCGTTTTACAAACTGTTCTATTCTGGGAGTCCAAGATGGGGACTTTAAGGCCCATATTTTATTTTAAACTAAATCAGACAACAGGTTTAGCTGTCTTGCACCACTGTTTTCACAATACTCAGAAACACAAAAGGAGAGTTATACAGAATGACTTCACCGAGACTTTCTCTATTGAGACTTGACTTGTACCGGATTGTTTGGAGCTGGTAAGCACTTGCATTGGACCCTGCATAGTAACAGTAGTGCACTCTGCCCATGGTGGTCTCTAATGTGAAAAAAGGCCTGTCGGTAAAATGGCGGCATGCTGTGACAAAAATGTACAGAATACCCCAGAAGTTGGATATTATCCTTGAAGGACCCCAAATGCCCAAACAAAGTCAGCTTTTTCCCAGCAAAGTTAAAATACCATTATGAGATTGATAGGCCTCTGTAAGTACAGTCACTGGATGAAAAAGGGACTTTCAGTGGCACGTGTGCTCCTAAGTCACTTAAGTGCTGTTGGAAATTCCGCCTGAAGTGAAGAACCTTAACTTGGAGAACGCCTGGGTCTTGTCAGATTGTTGTATCTCTGAAGATTGGGTTTTACCCACCCTCCACATGTAGCATTATGTCTGGAATTCAAGCCACAGATCCCAGTAGACCGTGACTGTGTTTTGAGGAGCTAATGAAATTGTACTGGATAGCAGCACTTGCTTTTCCTTTCATTCCGAGAAAAGTAAATGACCCAAAGCGTTTATCTGTGTGTCAGCCAAATCCCGAGTGATCATTGTTCCCTGGCTCCTCTTCTTTTTCCTGATCACCTAATAAAAGCGCCTATTGTGTGTAAACCCCACACTGGACAGTAACTGTTGTAAGAAGTGCAGGAAGTGTGGAAGTGCCATAGTTCCTCTTGCTATGGTGGGACCCGTCACTCTTGCATGACACCTGTAGAGGAATGCTGGCCAAGAGAACGATTTTTTTTTTCCCCTAAAGAAAAGAGTAGAATGTATTCTGCTAATTAAGCAGCTGCACGGATCTCGGATTCTAAAAAGGGAGTTGTTTTGTAATCACCTCTGGGAGGCACCCTTGCATATTGAGCTGTCCGGTGGGCTAACTTGATGACTCAGCTTGGGCAGTGTGGTGCTTCTGGAGAAAATCTATCAACACAGCCTTTTTGCTTTGTTCTGAAGGCTGGGGTAGCACTGTCATGACTGCAGACAGTGACCTTTTGTTAAGTGGTTTTATTACTACTAAGGGGGCAGTCTAGCAAGCTCAAAAAAACCCAACAAGGAACAGTAAGGAAAATGCTTTGATACCAGACAAGGCTGATACCTATGTTTGTGTGTGGGTGTATGTTTGCTTGTGATTTGTGCAGTTATGAGGAGGTTGCCTGATGCATTATTTCAATATGATGTTTTCTCTCTTCACAGCCAGCAGTTGTGAAAATCAGATTCTCTTTCCCCCCCTTCCCCCCCCCGCGCACACACTCGTGGTTTGGGATTTCACACTTACCAGAAGGGTGTCCACAATGGATAAGATTTAAGAACAGCCTTTTTCTTCTTGCAGTGGAAATGGGGGATTTTTAAAAAGAGCACTGAACATACTCTTTGAATAGAATCCCCAGTCTAATAGGTTAATGTCCAATAGGCTGTAAAAATACATTTTCCCCCTGTATTCATGTGGGTCAAGGGTGTAACTATGGTACATGATGATTATGGTTGTGGGTTTAGGGCACTGGTTGCCTGCCATGTGCCCTTGAAAACTGTAGCTGCTTTTGTAGTGCACTTTCTGGGGTAGCCTGTGAAATGGGAGCGGATCGTTCTGAGACTCACTGAAACCTCAGAAGCGGTTTAGATCTTCTAGTTATAGGTGAGGGAGGTCACTCCTGCAAGTGCTGGAAATAGGTGCATTCTGTATTGGGTGGGTTCGTTATGGGATTGGAGCCCATTGTTAAGAACGGTGAGGAACATTTTGCATAAAGGGGGAAAACCCCTTAAGGAAAAAGCTAGAGAACATATTAAATGTATGTAGATATGGCTGCCCGGGTATTCTATTTAAAAGTGCCCACGATTTATTGAAATGTCTGTTTGGTTTTCAGTAACAAACACATTTAACAAGATCGGCCCAGTTCCTGCCATAGCCCCATCACTTTTTACCAGCCAAAAGGGTGAGGTGAAGGAGAGGGGTGGTGTGGGGGTGTGGCCTCAGGGGGAAGGGACAGTACGGGGGCGTGGCCATGGTTCAGGTGCTGGTGGTCCCCTCACTTTTAGGGAGCTTCCATTGCCCTGGAGTGTACATGAACGCTGCTCTGGGCAGGACTTATGGGAGGAGGGCTAAGGGGGCTTTCCATTCCTCCCCCCCCCCAACCTTTGCATGTCCCTTATTCTAGGGCAGGGAGCTGTGATGGCCCTAGGTGCAAGTTAAAAGAGTCTAAGGAGTGCTCTTCACTTGTACATGGCAGCCTGTGGTTCCAAGAGGCCGTTGATTTAGAGGCAAATGAAAGAGGCACGTAAATCCAAACATGTCTATGATTCACAGAAAGATCAAATGCTGTAATTACTTGTCACGTCATATTGGGCTATTCTAAAACCAAAGTTCTTTTTGGTCCATGGTTCAGCTGTCACTTAATTGGTAAATGTAAATAATACACTCCCTGCCTTTAAAATAAGGCTAAGATGCCTATAGTACTTGCATATAAATCACACTATGCAATTCTTTCATAGAATTCTAAGACTGGAAAGGACTTTGAGAGGCCATCTAGTCCAGTCCCTTGCCCTTGAGACAAGACTAAGGGTATGTCTACGCTTACCGGGGATCAACACTGCGGTGATCGATCCACCGGGGGGTCAATTTAGCGGGTCTAGCGAAGACCCGCTAAATTGACCACAGATCGCTCTCCCGTTCCACTGGAACAAGAAGTGTAAGGTAAGTCGATGGAGTCTCCCGTCGGCCCAGCACGGTGCAGACATCGCAATAAGTCGACATAAGCTACATCCACTCCATCTACGTTATTCATGTAGCTGGAGTTGCATAACTTATGTCAACATAACCCTGTAATATAGACCTGCCCTAAGTATTATCCAGACCTGCCCTGGCAGATTTTTTTTTTTTTTAAACCTGCTCTTAAAATTATCTAGTAACGCAATTCCACAACCTCCCTAGGCAATTTATTCCAGTGCTTAACCACCCTGACAGTTAGGAATTTGTTCCTAATGTCCAACCTAAACCTCCCTTGCTGCCCATTGCTTCTTGTCCTAGCCTCAGAGGTTAACGAGAACAATTTTTTCCCCTCCTCCTTGTAACAAAATAATCTCAAAACACTTTCCAGAGTTAACGGGCAGACACTATTTGCATCTGCATACGGATCACTCACTGAAATGAGCCACCTCTGAAATAGAACACCTAACGAGTAGGTACCATGTTACTATCATGGGAGTGATGTTGCTAATGAGATGATGTAATGTTATTTGAGGAGGGGGGGGTGGAAACTACCATCCTAACACATGCTGTAAGCCTCCTAGCATGCCAAGTAGGAGTGTGGTTTTTCTAGAAGCCTGAACAGACTCAGTGAGTTGCGTCAATACACTTAGTAAGAAAAATGTAGTGCATCTTCCCATCTTGAGTACTTACAGAACATAGCAGCTGATGAACAGTGCACAGCACCAAACTGTTTAGGACACAAAATGAAGACCAGAATATCCAGTTGAAACTGCAGGAGGAATTTGGGTAGGTAGAACATACCTAACATCCTACTGTTTCAAAGAATGCCATAAGGTATTTGAAGAGCAGTAGGGATCAGGAATGCTGTTTTATCTCTCTTC